GTGTTTTTTTGTTGTTTGAGACACAGTTCTCACTCTGTCACCCAGGCTGGGAGTGGTGTGTGTGTGTGGTGTGGTTCGGTGACTGTACGTCTCTCCCAGGTTCAAGCGACTCTCCTGCCTCAGCCTCCCAGGATACTAGGACTATAGGCAGCTATAATATGTGGACTTACGCCAGCTAGTTTTTTTTTGGTATTTTCAGTAGAGACAAGGTTTGCGTCATGTTGGCCATGCTGTCTCGAATCTCCTGGCCCAGAAATCCCACGCGGCCCGCCGCGCCGCAGTGCATCACGAAGCCACGTACCGGAAAAAGCCTCTCCCAATGCAAAACTTGCCACCAGACACCTGTATTCCAGCACTGTGGGAGGCCAAGGCCCAGCTTTGGGAGGGCTGAGCCAGGAAGATCACTTTTGGAGTCTACCAAGTGTTGAGACCAGCCTGGGCAACATTGGGCGAGACTCTGTCCCTATGAAATTAAATAAACAAACAAAACACACACACCAGTTTATTACCGCAAAAAAAGAAAAAAGCAGTAACTCCAAACTGCTTCATTTATGCGCTTGACACGGCGGCTCATGCCTGCTTAATCCAGGGCGCTTTGGGAGCGCCGAGATTGCGCCGAAGCATCTTTTGAGGCCAGAGTTTCAAGACCAGCCGTGGGCAACACAAAGACCCTTGTCATCTATGTAAAAGAAAAAAATGCGGCCAGGCACAGTGGCTTAAGGCTTGTAATCCAGTATTTTGGATGCTGAAGGGGTGATCACGGACAAGAAGTCAGAGTTTCAAGACCAGCCTGGCCAACATGGGTGAAACCCCGCTTCTATACTCAAAATACAAAAAAGTTAGGCCAGGTGTGGGTGCGGCCTGTAATCCCAGGTACTTGGAGCCTGAGGCAGAGGAGAATCCACTTGAACCACGAGGCGGAGACCTGCAGTGAGCTGAGATGAGCACCATTGCACTCCAGCCTGGGTGACGCAGAGCGAGGACTCTGTCCTGTCTCCTGGCCCAACTATTTAATGCATGCTCACTGGTAATTTAGGAGGCCTGAGGCTCTTGGTTTCTCACCAAAGTCCCCACAGGCTGAGCTGAATTCCCACAGTACTTCATGTCCCATGTGTTCTGAACTATTATGTGTGACCCGGTGGGAACAGCGAGCCACAACACATTCTCTCAGCAAAGAGCCTTAAGGAAAAACGTATGTGCTCAGAGAAACGACCCAGCCCTGCTGTGCGTGCTTACCAGTAAAAATTCCAGTCCTCGTTTTCTGTCACTTGGACCCATCCTCTCTTTTCAAAGTTATTGATCAGCACTGACTTCTCGATATCAGTGACCCATTTTACTTTTCCTGCCATAATCCTGGAAGAGATCAAGATATCAGAGCTACAAAACTTCAACAACTCACTTTCCTTTAAACCCAAGGAATCCTCTAAACAGCATGCCCCACTCCAAACTCGATCTTACCCTGACAGTGGTTCTCAACCAGGGGTGATTCCGTCTCCCAGGGGACACCTGGCAATGTCTAGAGACAGTCTGATTGTCATGACTGGGAGATGCCTCTGGCATCGGGCATGTCCAGGCCAGGGATGCCGCTCAACATCCAACTGCACAGATGACCCCTCACAACCAGTCATCCAGCCCCAAATGTCAACTATGCAAAGGCTGAGAAACCCTGGTCTGGTGGGAGAAACAGGCAGCCAGCAAGTCGCCACCCGGGAGTATTCAACTGTAACTGTGCCAGGAGCCACAAAGGAGGGGCACACGGGGCTCTGAGAGCCAGAGGCAAGGCAGCTGGGGAGGGCTGCCCTGACAAGGGAACCCTCGGGCCTCGGGCCAACTTCCAATGGGTAAGTGGCGGTCAGCATGCCTGTCCCATGTCCCTCCAGGTACCGCCTGTCTCCCTACTTCAAGTCACCCTCTGTAACTGCGGAGTGACCGTAAGTGTTTATCTGGACTGGGCGTGGTGGCTCACGCCTGTAATCCCAGGACTTTGGGAGGCTGAGGCGGGCGGATCACGAGGTCAGGAGATCGAGACCATCCTGGCTAACACTGTGAAACCCCGTCTCTACTAAAAATACAAAAATTAGCCAGGTGTGGTGGTGCGCACCTATAATCCCAACTACTCGGGAGGTTGAGGCAGGAGAATCACTTGAACCTGGGAGGCGGAGGTTGCGGTGAGCCGAAATCACGTCACTGCACTCCATTCAGCCTGGGCGACAGAGACTCCATCTCAAAAAATAAAAATAGGCTGGGCGCGGTGGCTCACGACTATAATCCCAACACTTTGGGAGGCCGAGGCAGGCAGATCACGAGGTCAGGAGATCGAGACCATCCTGGCTAACACTGTGAAACCCCGTCTCTACTAAAAACATAAAAAATTAGCCTGGCGTGGTGGCATGCGCCTGTAATCCCAGCTACTTGGGAGGCTGAGGTAGGAGAATCACTTGAACCCAGGAGGCGGAGGTTGCAGCGGGCAGAGATTGCGTCACTGCACTCCAGCCTGGGTGATAGAGCGAGACTCCATCTCTAAATAAATAAATAAATAAATAAAATAAATAAAATAAAAATTTTTTTAAAACAAGTGTTTATCTGACCACATCACTCCCATTTAATAACCTCCATGACTCCCCATAGTACTTAAACACACAGACCCCTTGCCCTCACCTGCTTCTCCAGGTCCACCTCACACCACCTTCTCCTATACGCTCTGTTCTGCCACCCTGGGCTTCCTCTGCCCACTCTCTCTCCTGCCGCAGGCCTCACACACACTGGGTCCCTCCGCCTGTAGCACGCTGCCCTCACTCTCTGCCTGGCTAAGCTGCCCCCCGCTCATCTGCCAGCATAAATGAATGTCGCTTGCTCCACTAAGCGTCCCTGACCCTCCAAACCAGGTGCTGGACCCCTCGGCACCCCGGAGCTCCGTATGAAGCACCTGCTGTCCCTGCTGGGGGCCAGGGAGCTGGCTTGCTTTCTTCTTCACTGCTCTGTGCCCAGGGCCCAGCTCCATGCCTGGCACGGGAGGGATGCTCAGATCAGACAGACAGACTGGCTGCAGTCCCAGGCCTGTCAGCGCCACGGTGGGACTCGGAGCTGTAACAGTTACAAGAGGACTCTAGACCTCGGTTTGGTCTGAAAAGTCTAGTTTTCAAACTGCTCAGGCAGCCCAAGATTCAAGGCTCCCACCCCAGCTCCGACCAGGAAGGCTACAGGAGGCTGCCTCTCCACCCTGGCAACCCCCACACCACAGGCATCTGGCCTGTACAACTCACACATTGTACTTAAGACAATCTTCTGGCCGGGTGCAGGGGCTCATGCCTGTAATTCCAGCACTTTGGGAGGCCGAGGCGGGTGGATCACCTGAGGTCAGGAGTTCAAGACCAGCCTGGCCAACATAGCGA